ATTGGCATCCAGCCCCAGTTCTTGAATATGTTGGACCACCCTGAAAAGCATTCATATTAATGTTGAGTAGTATAATTATTAGATTGTTGGTATATGTCTCATCAAAGTATGTGATTTTGTTATTCTTTAAAATATGACCAGACTAAACATGTTGTCAATGCCATCAAAACTAAGCTAATATTGTTGCTATCTTTGAGCCAAAAGGGTGCTGGATTTTGCATTCCTTTTCCAGTGCTTGGTCCTGTAGGGTGTGCTTGTTCTGCTTTATTGCATGACAGTACCACTCTGTAATGTTAGGGGCTGCCCTTGAGGTTGTTAGATATTACAAGAAAGAACACCATTTTGGATGCCAGCATCTTTCACAGCTTTCCAGAAAAAAATAATGATTATATTACAAAGGTAATGTTAGAGGGGGAAAAAACTAAGGATCATTGGTAACACTTTGTTCTTGATAATAAAGCAGAGTATGGCAAGAAAGAGAAGCACTTTCTTCATAGTCACTGAGTTCCTCAGTGGTCTCCCTTATTTTCTATAAAGCTTGCTGGAATAATTAGAAAGGAAAATATGTCATGTATGTATTAGTTTAGTTCCATAGACTTAGTCTATTCAGTCTGCACACCTTGGTTGCCTTTGTTGAGACTTCAGAGATTTCTTTGGGTCAGCAGTATCTATGACAGTAACTTAATTGCTACATGCATTTGTACTGTTCTTTGGCAATTTTGTTCAGATACATGTCACTGTACCTATTTGCCTGGGGGTAGGTTTTATATTAAATATCAGTAAAAAACAGGCTACATCTACACGAAAGCAGTGGAGCAAAATCCCATATAATTGCAAGCCAGCCCATCTAAAAGGCGAGGGAAAGTGAATATATTAATTGTATTTTAGCTGTTACTGCCAGGAAGCCAAAGCAGAAATTACATATCAAGAATTGTGGCAGAAGCTATTTACATTTATTGTCTTTGAATCCCACAACATCATGTTAATGGGTATGCATTTATATTAAGTTTTATCTTTCATTCTTTTTCTCCCTCCCCAAATTTCTGAATATTCACAAGCATTGATTTACCACTATTGACACATAACTATTTGGGGAATGCAAATGACATTCACTAGTAATGTAAAAACTTAAGAACACTGTTTCTAAATGAGGTACTGGAGGCAATTTAAGCAATTTAATGTAACTGGAAATTTTCTGGAACTACAAGCTTAACACATAGGTTACTAGATGATGAGACTGTAAAATTTTAACGAGGATATATGGTCAGGAACTTAATTGTATTTGGGGTAGTGCATGTGGATGGAGATGCATCCACATACCAGTCATTATCAAATCTAGAACAAGGAGTTCGGGTTTGAAATCCTTCTGCCTGAAGATATAGTAGCCAGTAAAGACACGTGATTTCCACGTGAAGTCTGTAGGACTGCAGTTTTGTACTGTGGATATGTTTTTTTTTCCCTACTTCACTTTTCTTTTTATTCAAAGGATTAAACTGAAGGTAACCTTATTTGATCTTTTATAAAAATGGTTGTTGCATTAAATGTAACTTGGTATATTGTAGAAAGAACAGCCAGCACAGTAGATATGCCAGGTGTAGGAAGGCAGTGAATTGTCACCAGGTTTCATTGCAAAGGAAACCAGTCGTCATAAATCACCCTTTAATTGTGCTCTCTTATTTAAAATGCCTGCTTAAGTCTCCTTTCAGCTAAAATATTCCTATTAGTTTCAGATTCACTGGATTAATGTTTATAGTGATCAGCATTTGGATGGTTAGTGATTAGTGTTGTCAGCCTAATGCACAATATAGACTAAACCAATCACACTCAAGGAAAATTTCCTGATTGTATTTCCATTGAGTTCTCTAATCTGTAGAACAGATACCTAAAAATGTTAAGTGTCTCTTCATAGATGGGCTAAAACCAGTGGTGACATGGGTATTTTAATATGATTTTTTAAAAGTAACTTATATATGTATTTTGTTATATAAATATATTTATCAAATGCCACTGGAAGGATTTCATATTCAGTTTAGAGCTTAACAGGTGGATGACTAAAGTTGTCCCATGACTTTATGGAGCTGGAGTGTATATAGAATTCAAAGGAAATTATCATTGGGTTGGGAGGCAGAGTGAAGACTCTGCTTAGATGAGTGGCACTGTAGCACAGATTCTTTAGGAAAGGGCATTAAAAATTAGCCTCTGAGGAATCCAGGATAGAAGACATCTGATGAACTGATGTTATTGTAAAATACTAAGGTACATTGTGCTGTCTTGGAATGAGATCCAAATGTAAGTTGCTAAGAGCCAATGCAGTTTAAGTAGAAATTAAGATAGAATTATTCTGTTTGATTCATTTGGCTTTTCACTAATCCTGATGACTGAAGGGCATTCGAAGAGTTTGTAGTCCTTTAGAGGCTTGAGGAAAGGTTCCTTGTTTTTCCTCTGAACAGGCTTTTCTAACAACACTTCCAAGTAAAAAGAAAAACAACAAACAAAACCAACCCTCTGAACTCTGTTGCTGTTTTCAAAGATGAATTCATTTATCACCTTATCTCAGTATTCTAATGCTGAGTCAATAATGCCACTGTACTTTTTAGTGATTCCAACACTCCAACAAAACTTGCGTATAGGACCAGAACCAGAATATCAATGTTTGAACTAGTACTGGGAAGTTCCAGTGAACTGAGAATAGGATTCTCATTTTAGTGCTTCACTTCTAATGTAATGTCTAAATGCTGAACAATGGATCAATATTTTGGGGTGCTGAAGGAGGAGCGTATTTTTACAAACTGATGACAGATCCCAGGATAAGCAGTCTTGGCAGTTAATTTATGATGTCTTAATCACAGCTTTTTATTGGAATAACTGCAGACTTGGAAACAACTTGACAATGGATTTTGCCAGCTTGGCAAAACTGAAGTAGTATCATTAGACTAGTCACATCGGTTTGTTTGATATGTGACTGGCTGGACAGATTTTAAATGTGTATTTTATCCTCTAGAGAAACAAGTAACTACACTAGACATGTTTTTAAAGCAACATCTGTTTTGTTGACCTTGGTTTTTCAGCAGTCCATCTATGTAAACATAAATATTTAGATGAAAGCAACATTCAAAGATTCATCGCTGAGACATTTTGCTTTTTCTGCTATTTTTCTTGATGAATGTAAGGAAAGATAACAACTCACCTTTTTTTCCACTCCATTAAAATCACATTCTAAGCAGTCTTCTAAAATCAGTACAGCAACATTATTTTGCAAGCTAATGGAAACATTATTTCAAATGCTTGAGCAAATGTTAGTGTGTATTCATGTATGCAGGCTTTTACAAATGAAATAATATGCCTATGATTTTAGTTCCATTTTTCTCTTTCTATTCTTCTGACTTCATATACAGATTGAATTGGGAATATAGTATATCTTAATTGTTTCTCATCTCTCAAAATTCAGTTTGAAATCGAGTTAACTTTTAAGATATGTTCATTTATTTGTGATTTCCTGCTTTCAAATCAAATCTGCAGCTTAAAAACATACTTGGGCAGCCTATACTTTTAAGAATTGATAGATGCGGATGTTTTAAACAGAAATAGCTTATTTTCAACATCAAGGATTTGCTTTGCTTTTCTATGGGAATAAAAAGTAGTGAGGTAATTGTTACAAAATCTGGATCCAGTGTCTTCTAAATAACAGTATGTTGTTCGTCATGAGATTTTGTGTTTGTATGTGTATTGTAGTTCATTCAAGTGTGAAATAGAAGTTATTTCACTTTCTGTTCCTACATGTAAACTTTCAGATATAGTGATACGGTAGTTCCAGATAGATGGTCTAATAAGCAATCTTAACTTATCTAAAAAAATGCACCTGGTGTCTTTTCTATATTTTAATCATACTTTCATTATTTAAGTGAATAATTTATTTTTAATCACTTAATTGACAAAGGAAACCAAAAGATGTTCTGCAATTTTTTGCAGTCACTGGATTTTTGGGTATGGAATAAGATGAAGATAAAAGTTCAAGGGATTCCATTTAGGTAAAATCACTTTACTCTGTTGTGTTTTGTTTCTGTTTTTGTCGCCCCCTGCCAGATCCAGCCATTGTAAATGGAGTTTATTGGTCAGAATCTTTAAATAAGGTGTTTGTTGATAATTTTGATCGTGACCCTTCTCTCATCTGGCAGTACTTTGGAAGTGCAAAAGGATTTTTCAGACAATATCCAGGTAAGAGGAATACAAGTTCTTACGTAAATTAACAATAAAGAATGCTATGGCTGCAAATTTCCACTGAGTACTGTCACAAATCACGACCTTTGCAGATAATTGCAGGTTTGATTTTACTTTATCTAGTTTTCAGAGATATATATTTCTAATCAACATTTTCAATGTTCTGAGTTTTTTCTACCAATTTTCATTTGGAGATGAAGCCCCCAAGATATCTCATATACTCATAAATATTCCTATTCAGATACATACACACACATGAAAAATAACTTCTAAACAGACTGTGGAGAAGGGGAAAAGGATTAGACCCTTCTTTAGTACTAAACTTAATGCGCTCTATCGATGCACACTGTGAGACTTGATTGTAATTTATTGTTCAGTTTTTAGACTTCCACTTAACCTAACATCTTTACATTTAAAGATTTCAAAAACTTTTAAGTTTACTTTCACCCTACTTGTAAGAAAATGCAATTAGATCACTTGTATTATTTCTGTAGAAATAAGTTAAAATATATAGTTGCCGATTAAGTTTTATGTTTAATCACATACAAAAATGACTACATATTAAATAAACTGATCCTAAGTTTCTGTCTTTGGGTCAGGCCCATAGTGGGAATTGTTCCTTTAGCTGACATGGTTTAGCAACCCATGTTTTTTCAAGTCTGAAGTTTTGAGTTTAATCTGAGCCAGTTTGCTATAAGCCTGTATGTCTGAAAGTGACCGAAAGTAATGGCTACTGCATCTGTGTTAGTTTTAGATTATAGGTCAGTTCTCAAACTCCATGGTATTTCAAGGTTAAAAGAAATGTTAGTCCTTATTTTAAAGGCTGTTCCTTATTTTGTGCTAGAAAACGAGTGTAAAAAGCAGGAAGGATTGCCCTGTCATTTTTTTTTCTTGGTGAAGTTTTTATTTTATTTATTTTGACCCACAATCAGGAGATATTACCTCTTCACAGTGGTGTGAGCAAAACGTCAGGTTTATGACCTGTGAGTGAAGCAGTTAGTATAAGTGGACCTGTGAGATCAGCTGCAGGTAGTAAGTGCTCAAAGTTCGAAAGGGACTTGGCAAGCGTGTGATGAAGCTTGCCAGCACCATTGACTCAGTATGACAATACTTTAGCAACAGACTTGAAGAGGTTTTCACCTTACAGTAGGCTAAAAAGGAGTGAGAAAAAATTGTTTCTGGTGGGCATATTTTATTAAATTATTTTTTCCAGTATTTCTTATGTTATAACACCATTGCCTGTCAGATTAAAATATGAAATTCCATTAAGTGCTACTTAGCCCCAATACCACAGATACATTTTGAACAGGTACTCTGAAAATGTAATTTAATTTTTTTTATCTTTTTGGTTTTTTAAACAGGAATTAAATGGGAACCTGATGAGAATGGAGTCATTGCATTTGACTGCAGAAATAGAAAATGGTAGGCAATAGATGATTACCGGTGTTTAAGAAATTTGAAAGGAAGAAAAGTTCAGTATTTGAAAGAGCAATTTGTTTTGTCTTTTGTCTTAGGTACATCCAGGCAGCAACTTCTCCGAAAGATGTGGTAATTTTAGTAGATGTCAGTGGCAGTATGAAAGGGCTTCGCTTGACTATTGCAAAACAGACAGTTTCATCTATTTTGGATACCCTTGGAGATGATGACTTCTTCAATATAATTGCTGTGAGTGTCTCAGGATTTCTTTTCCTTTTGTTTTTTGCTTCCATCATTTGTTGCCGTCTGTCATGTTTTACATCACACAATACACTTGAAAAATGTTACAGGCAGGCGATGGGTATAAGATGACATCTGAACCAACTGTGCGTACACTGATATTTCCAAAGCAAGCTCCTTCAGCTGACAGTGTTTTCAAACTGCTTTTCTATGACTTACAATCTGAAACCCCTGAAACAAGTTGTCATGAGTTTTGGAGTTGTAAAGAACAGTAATCTGTTTTGTAGTTTGCTTGAATTTTCTACATTACCTTAGTTTTTAACTTCGGGGTGTGCCCCCATACCCACCTCCATACATCCCACCTTCTCCTTGCCCCCGGCTTCTGCAATGCAGTACAAAATGGTTAATATGTAAGAATTAATAGAATCTGATCTAAGCTTTTGCTGCAGCTTGTATGGCACGAGAAAATGCCAGCATAGCTCCTCATTGTTCATGCTTTCCCCAGTGCGAATCTGAAATCTATGTACATGTAAGTTGTGCAGAGGTATGACTGGTGCTCGCTAACAGTCAAAAATTAGATGATCAGTAGTTCCTGTTATTTGTTTGTGGTAGGTAGTTTTCTATGGCACAGGCACATGTTTTAAATCTGTGACAAGAGGCTAGTTTTACAGTATTTAAGAGTAATGGGATTAATCATGTAGGTAAGGATAGTTTTAACAAGTTCAAAACTGAAATCAGAACTACAATTTGCATGGGGGATGGCGAGGCGGGGAGAGGGAAGATGAATTGGTTTATAAATTCTGCTTTGCTGATATTCTTTTGGTAATACTTCGTAAATATATGGTTTTAACTTATACATAAATCCTAAATATGTCTTCAAAATGCTCCTTATGTTCGAGAGCTTGGCCTTTTTTTTTTTTTTGCTACAAGGGAAGTGTGCTTTGTGTACTAAAATAAATTACCTCAGTGATACCAGTACAAATCATTGAGGTTGTATGGAGGATGAAGTATGTATGCCTGAAGTAGATGTGTGTTTACTTTACTTTTACGTAATAGCAAGCAGTTAGTTCAGAATATCTTTCATATTAATCTCCTTGTATGATAACTGCATAATTAGCAGAAACTCATGTAGTAGAAAGATACCATTACATGCTGTACCAAAAAACGGTTTACTGTCCTTCAAAAAATTGTGATTAACTGTAATCTAAATAATTTTTTTAAGTCGAAAGAATGTTTCAACTAAGTAATTATAAAGATACTTGACCAGCCATTTTTTGGTGTGTAATCTGTGTTTATCAGTAGTTATGACAGTTACTGTGAGTGATGTAGGAAGAAAAAAAAAAAATAATGTTTTTTTAAGTAAAGTTTATTACTTTGGGAAAACCAAAAGGCTCATCTATAAAAAAAAATGTAAAAAAGTGTGTAGCTAGAATCCAAGCTGATGATTTTGTCTTTAGTAGTACAGCAGAAATACTGTTTAAATACTTCAAAACGAGCAAGTGTGAAATAACTAAACATAATTTTTTTCCATTTAAACTGTAATCGAAAATTAACTAAGCTGTGTGTAAATCAGCATGGAGTCACAGAATTTTTAGGTAATTTATTGCCAATTAACACAAACTTATGATCACTGATTCGGGTCTTGAGAAAAGGAAAGAAACACCCAAGTGAGCCTTTCCTCCCCCTTGCCCAGGCTCAACTTCTGTCCAACACCTCCCCCTGCACCCTGGTCTCAGCGCCCCTTACCTTCGCTGCCGGTTTCAATCCCTCCCCTCCCCTGGGTGAGGTGCAGGGTGGTGCAGGATGTTGGGGTCCTGTGTAGGTTTCTGTCAGCAGCTCTGTGCTTATTAGTTTCTGACTTCCACTTTTCGCTACTTACTGGTTTTCCTCTTTGTTTTTCTACTCAGTGGGGGTTGCCCACGGTCACAGTCCCTCAGCGGTGTCCCCACCTCACCTTGGGTTGCCCGTGGCTGTGGTCCCTCAGGTGTGTCCCTGCCCCAGTGTGGGTCACCTGCAGGCCACGGTGTCCAGAACTGCACTCCTTTCACCATGGCATTCTTCCAGCTATGTTTCCAACTGTTTGCAGCAGCCCCTTATGGCTCCTTCCTTGCTGTGCCTGCCTGCATGAGGATGCTGCAGGCCTGCTGCTGCGGCTTTGGTGCCTCACAGGTTGCTCAGACCAGTGCTAGTGCTGGCTGGATCCAGCTGTGACCAGCACAGGGCAGTTCATGGCCCACTCCCACACAGGCTGCAATTGCAGATCTCTCCTATTTACACCTAATACATAGTTTGGTTAGTATAAGAAATTCTTAATGTTTAGAAAGATACTATGGTAACTATAGTATTTGCCTGAGGTAATTTTTTCACCTGAAGATTCTTTCATCTCCATAACCTTCTTTAGGATGAATATGTGTTTATTTGTTGAAATAAGTAGAAATAGCAACTGAGAATGCAATTTTATTCTTACCAGCTCAGCTGTTTAATATCATTAGGTTTAGTTACTCTGCAAATACAAACCTTGAAATTATTCACTGCATTGAAAGAGGTACTGCAGAAATATAGGGGAAAACAAGGAGGCCATGATAGGAGTGACAATGAGTGGGTAAAGTGCTGTCCTGTCACCTTGACAATATCTCTGAAGAAGAGTTTTTAAGGAGTTGTTTTGGACTAAGTGTCACAATATAACCCTTGCTGTCTCAGAAGGAAAAAAAAAAAAAAGTAAAGAAAACACAAAACTTGGTTTGCTTGAAAATGTAACAGACTGGTAACAGAGACCGGTGCCATGGTGAAGGGAGTGGATGTTTCAAAGAAGAATGGCACAGGTAGGCTGTGGACAGATTATGAACTCTTTTTAAAATTTGGTGGTTTAGAGGACAATATAGAGAGGTACACAGTAAAGCCATGCTTACTGTGATTTTAAATTATCAGCAAAAATTACTTCTGAAGCACTGCTCTGATTAAGTGCCAGCAGGGTTAAATAATCTTTGTCAAGACTGGAGATGATGTTTCAGTGATCAAAACACGAGACAACAAAGCCCATGCAAGAGGCTTCTTAGTGTGAAAGCACTGAAAATCCTATATAGCTTTTAACTATATACAAACGTTTGAGTGGGATTCTATCTTACTCTTTGTCATGTAGATGTAGCCTGGTGATATGAAAGCAATTTCATTTGAAATTTGTTGCTCTGTGAGGACCACTGGACATCTGGAAATCTGAGACAAATGCCCAAGTACCTTCTCCTCTTCCCTGACCAACATTTGAGAATAAGAGCTTTACATGAGAAATCTGGACAAACAATATGCTTATTAGATGAATCGAAAGTTTTGAGCCTGAGTGATTGTCAGGATGACTTTATTATGCACAGTGATTAATGGAACAAATATTTGCAACAGAAGACTTCTATGAGGAACTGGGCCAGGAATTAGGAGTCAAATAGGCTAAAGAGTTCTCGCTCTCATTCTCCAAGAGGGGAGAACCCTACAGCATGTCTTCATTTTCAGGCAAAAGAAGGGAATGCAAGGAAAACAGTGACGAAAGATGTGAGAGAGGACTTACAGATGAGCAACAGCCAGATGAGGCAAGTGGAAATGTTATGCAAGCAGATGAGAAACTTTTGTGTTTGCTGGAGTAAGAAGGAAGGGCACTTTAAAGTTAGCTGAAAGAGAACATGAGGTTAGAGAAACTGGACTAATGTAAGACAGGGCTCTGGAAACAGTGGGGTCGAGGATGGAAAGGATATGAGCATTGAGAAAGTCAGTATCTACATCAGTGAAAGAAGAGGGAACAGAACTTAGCAAATGAAAAAGCGTAAAAAGCATCTGTGCAAAATTTGTGGTGATTGACTCTGGTAGTTTTTTATTCTCCCTTTACAATATTTCACTGTACAAAAAGTTTAAAAGATTTTCAATTTGCTTTTCGGGTTGTTGTTATACATTTCAATATTCCACACACAAAAAGATGTTTAGGATTCTCATTAGCTGTAATGGGAGTTATGGTCACTACGTACTAACATTGTTAAAAACATCAGTTAACGCTTATAAAAAGGCAGTAGGATATAAAAAAAAAAAACCAAACAAAACCACCCAAGAACAAAACCCAAAAGCCACTAGTAGTACATTAGCTGTGTTCTTTTGTATCCTTTTGATTTTTCACTAAATGTACTTTTAACTTTATATGTGTATATAGCAGAGAACAGAATTCAGTGCAGATCTTTCCAGAGAATAAACTTAAAAGGATAATGTTAAAAATTGCTTTAGCTTTCATGGGTAGGTGGTTGTAAAATCTATTTGAAATTGATAGACTAGATGATTGAATTGCAAAAAACTGTTGAAATATAAGAGCAGTTTTATGCTGCCTGTGTTAAAATTTAAGGTTAGTTCACTGGTGCATGGATAGAGATGCCTGCAACAAGAAAAAAAGGCATATTTTTCCAATTCACTTTGAAATATAATTTCAAGTCATGCATTAAATTAACAATATTATCATAAATGGAGTACTAATTTTGCCGAATGCTGAAATTTTTAAAATGCTTTTATAAAAATGTAAACTCCACATTAAATTAACAAAATATTAACAGAGCCAAGAATGGTAAATTAGTTTTAATGCTTTAGCCACACCATTTTTAGCAAAATTGATTAGAATAAAAGTATTTGTTAACTCAAAGCACAGTAGTATATTTCCCTGGTTTTAATTTGTAGAATTTTCCATTATATATGTGTCTTGGTTTGAAAGACAGGTG